AATGTTGATGGCCATAGCATGATGTTTGGAGGCATAAGGCCACAATGACAAAGGCATGTTAGCCTGGAGGAGATTGGAGCGCGCCCCTTCCAAAATGGTGCGGACCTCGCGCTCGACAACCGCCTTAGTGGAGTGTTGGTACTCAACAGAAGTTTGGTGCTTGAAACCGAGCTCTTCGATGGCGTCCAGCATTTCTGGAGCGTTGTCAGTGTATACTATACCAACGATGTCAGAAGTTTTCAGAAAATGTTTGACGGCCCTCACGATGGAATTGGCCGTCTTGTTCTCTGAAGGGTAAACACAGCGGTATTGAGTATACACATCTTTGATCACCAACATCGAGGTTTGGCCTTCTATCCCCTCTTCGATATCTTTGGGAATGACGTGGTCGCAAACAATATGATCTCCAAAACCACGTGCCAACAAGAAGTGATCCGCCTACGCTTCTACCGTAGAGGGAAAGCATCTTTGCTTCGCTGCAAATATCGCAGTAGGGGTTCTTTGGTCGATGTGTGAATTGGTGCGCCCCTGATTTAGCTTCCTTTCGTAGTTGTTCTTCGGTCTTTTCTCCCGCTACGGGAACATCTTCAAAATCGAAGGGAACTTCAACCTCCGGGTCGCTTTCCTCTTCATCTCCCTGTTCCTCATCGGCATTGGCAGCTACGCCAGCCTCATCCTCATCCTCTCGTTCATCCTCAGGTTCGGACTCGTGGCTGGCCATGGCAAAACCCTGATCGATGGTGAACTGGTGGATGGAGTCGAGCACCTTAGTAAGTCGTGTCCTCAGTGACTCGGGGATTGAAAATGGGGTACACGTCTCATCGATGTACGGAACCCTACCTTGCAATTTGAATTTAACACATTGTCCATCAGGTCGAAGAAATATGGGAGTGGTGTCCTTTCCCCCAAAAAAATCATATCCCTGTTCTAAGCACCTCAAACCGATTGAGAGCGCAGAGGGAGTGCTTTGGAGAATGTATGGGTTAAAGGATTCACACAGTCCCGGGAGTATCACCTCAACTACGTCCTCCGCAGTGATTGGTCCGTTAGCAGTAGTGAGGGATATTGGCTCATTGGACTTGAAGATCTTAGTGGCCCGGCTGACTGTCTTTGAGTCCTTGCCTACGATGTCTTGGTCAGTTCCAGTATCGCCCAGCCACTTCTCAATTCCAACTGTGCTTGGCATCGCGGTTAAGCGAGCACGCGAAGGTACCTGTTCACCGGTGACCGTCCTACACTTTGTGCAGCGCAAATCATCGGGGCCTTCTGGGGAATGGTCACAAAGGAAATCACACGCAGGCTCCTCGGTATCCATCGAATCGAGCATCTGCCTAAGCGACTCCACTGCCAAAATGGCGTCCTTAGTGTCACACTCGCGGGACTTTGGACATTCCTCAGTGGTCCGGAACAGGTTCCGCTTTTTGCTCTTATTCACTACATGCCGGTACATTTCCTTCCAAACAGGAAAGGTGTGTACCTCAGGCTTGAATTCGAAACGAATTCTCCTCTCTTGCACAACACGGCAAAATTGACTTCCCAGTCCAATCAAACCCTTGTTTCGCGTTTGGGTGTTTCTTCCAATTACCCTTAAAGGTCCTATTCTTTCCCTTTGAGTCAGTGACCACCATGGTGAACCGGTCTTCCAACCTAGATGACTCCACTGGACAGGATTTACGTGTAGGGGGGAGAAACGACCTGTGCCTAGGCTTTAAATGGTGCCTTATCAATTCGGTGCCATCTTTGGAGAATTCCCAGTAGTCTTTGCTCTTATGGGTCCGAGTAGCGGTTGCTGCTAAGCAAGACACTGCGAAACCTGTTTGAACGCATGGACTGGCCTTTGGACTTTTGTCTTTCTTTTCCCGTTTGCTCTTCTTGTCCTTCTTGTCCTTCTTTGACTTTTTGTCTTTAGACCTTTTAGCCGCGGGAGATGGACTTCTTCTGCGCGGGGCCGGTGTTGCGGTTTCACCATGTTTGAATGGACACTTTTCACCCCTTTTGCAGTTGCCCTTTGCAAAGAACCTGCGTGGCTTCTCAGATTTTCTGCCTCTACTTGAGCTTCTTGACGAGTTCCTTGAACTATTGCGGGAGGATGGTCTTGACGAGCTTCTTGAACGGCTTGACCTGAAAGAGGATCGACCACTTGAACTTGCGCTTCGCGATCGTGACGACTCCCGACTGAGGGAGCGGGGACGTGCGCTTGAGTCGTGTGAGTACTTGCATTTGCTTCCGTACTTACACTTGCCTGTCTTGGCGAACTCATAGCATTGATTACTTCCGTCACCCTTTGCGCTCCTCTTGCCATAACTTGGGCTTCGCGTACGCTTGTCATGCGGCGCCGGGTTTGCATACTTTCCAGCATGCGATTGTGAGATCTTTTCACGATTGGTCCTTAGCCTTTCTCGATCAAGATACCGTCGAACAGAATTAATGAGGAATTCATAACTTCTGTCGCTACTTCCTTCCGCTGCCCGTTCATAAACATCGAGGTCAAATCTGAGCTTACGGGACTTCCTGACCTCTCTATAGAACAAGTCTTTGAGGGTTGCCGGATCAGGAACATAATGACTCATTCCGGTCAACACACTTTCCCATTTCCTTAGAAAGGATTTCAGGTCATCGCTGTCAAGCGAGATCTTCAGGAGGTCTTCCGTGCCATACAGTGCACCAGCTTCTTCACTGGTCTTGAAGTGGACTTCAAACATGAGCAAAACCTGACGACCACGAACGATCCTACCCTGCTGTGCCTCAGATTCCTTGCAATTAAGGATTTGCTGAGACAGTTCACCTTTGGCGACCTTAGTCAAAGCAGCAAGGAGTTTCGTGTCTAAGGTCCGAAACTTGCCTGGGTCAGCCAGCTCGGAACAAAGCTTAGCTTTGTCCTCCCGAACGGCGTACACCTCAAGCACCCATGCAAACGCAGCATCTGGGTCATCGGACGCGGACCGTATCGCTTCGCGAACAGCGGCCCTCCAAGTGCGGTACCTGTCAGGACTTGGGAATTCGGTGAGATCTATCTTATCAGCCTCTTTTGCCTTGGGTTTATCTGAGTCTTTGTTCTTTGCGCCCTTAAACCCCTCTAGCAAGGCTCTCTTGATTATTTCCCCCAAATCTTGATCTTGTGGAGTTCTTACCTGAGATGCCGGCCCTTCATCCTTGCGATCATCCCTTTTGTAAGTTGCTTCCTGATTAAAGGAGCTTTTGTACAATGGGTCATCGCTGAAGTTGTATTGCGCCGACTTCATCTTGTAATCCATCCATGGATCAGGTTGTTTAAACTGTTGTCTGTCGGTGGAGGCAGTAGCCTTTTCCGCTGCTTGCGCCCCTGTCCCAGAGAACATTGAGGGAAATCCTGTGTTGCGACTTGTTGCTGAAGTATCCATAGCTGTCTTCAGAGGAATCCCAGTTGGGTCTGAGGGCGAACCTTCTAGGGTTGCAGGGACTGTGCCTTCCGTACGAAGAGGTTCGAATGAATGAGGTTGACCAACGGGATGAACATTTGGTGGAACAGGAGGTGGAGGTTGCTCTGGTCGCAGCGGCCCCGGTTTAGCTGGGCTAGCGGCTTGAGCCTTGCGCTCGATTTCCTTGCGCTCCTCTTCCTTGTCCAACAAGGCCTGTGCAACACGTCTGAGTTCATCCATCTCACCCTTCAACAAAGCATTGTCCTTGCGGAGTTCAATGATTGTTTGCTCTTGGGTTTCCCTGTCAACTGCATGTTGTGACTTAGTCGACTCCATTTCACCAAGGAGCGTTTTGATCTTTGCCTGTGCAATTGCCAACGAACTGGTCAGTTCTTCTCGCTTGAAGTCAAGGTCTATAGCAACACGGGCTTCTTCAGCGGAGGTAGATCGAGCTTTGTCTGTTGCCTCCAAAGCTGCCTTTAGCCTAGCTTCTTGCTGCTCTGTATACTGACGGTGTTCAGTTCTCATCCTGTCGACAAATGCATTGCCTTCCTCTGCCAAGGCATTCTTTTCTTGTAAAACCTTCTCATGAGCTGTTGTTGCCTGAGCTAACCGCTGCTGAAAATGCTCTCGTTGCTCCTCCAACGTGCCTTGCAACCTTTTGATCGCAACGTTGTCGTGATGCTGAGCCAACTGCTGAACATTATGTTCTTGCTGTTGAGCTCTCTGTTGCAAATTCAGCATTGCTTGCTCTGCTGCGGCTTTTGTTGCTGCTATCCATTCAGAAGCTTCCCTCTCATAGATATGCCTGAAACGCAATACTTCGAGCTCAGCTTCACGCCTAGCTTGCTCGCTAAGCAACAACTCATGTTGCTGTAGTTCCCGTCGTAGTTCTTCATCACCTGATGTAGCGTTCAGGTTGACGACGTTGAACCTAGTCATTGCCAACAAGTTGTTTACTGTCGGCGCACCAGCTACGGCGGCTGACGGCATACCTGCTAGGGTAGCTTGTGTCGCCTCTTGAAGAGTAACACTACCACCACTGTTTAGCATTTCTTGGTATACCTCCGAAGCTACCCTTGGATCCATTGCCGCCACTTGTGCGACTGCCTGTTCATGTCGTTGAACTGCGTCCAAACTATTAGGTATACTCGGAACAATGTCAAAGCCACTTCCGTACGAGTTCGGTGCGGTGTCGTCATCCATCGGGTCCATAGCTCTACCCTAGTTAGCCTACGGCTGATAACCTGTATTTTACAGGATCAGCTCTACTTCCCTAGCTAACCCTGACTAGCCGTTAAGCGTCCCTTTTGCTCTACCTTGAGAGTACACGCTACGGGGTCCATGGGGATGAGGTGAATTTCAACAGTATGGTTAAATGTTGCTTTAAACAAACATACTATATCATATTATGTTAAATGGATTTAAATGGTGAATAGGAATGCCACTCAAGCTTGACAAGATCATAGACCTGGACATTGGTTGTGTGAAGCTGGCGTCTCTAGAGCCCATCAAACAATACAATCGATGGCAAGGCTTGACATTTCCAGCAGGAGGCGGGAACCAAAAATTCACCCGCTCCAGCTGACATAAGGTACAGACTGCGGCGGATAACTACCAGGGTCCGTTTCTGGACCAGGTAGCCAGGAATTCTCATTAACATTGCTTTCCTTGGTCGCACCAGGCAGGCCAAATGTCTGATTCCACTGCTGCTGGCCCAGCAGCCTCGCAATCAAGGCCCCCGTGTGACCATGCTGTCATGCATCAACAAGTTCTGCGTCGCTGGGTACGCCAGGTATCTCTGAACCAGGAACTGCCTCGGCTCTGCGTTCTGACACATGATCTGAGCTCACAACAGTTGCTACCAAGCAACCCCAAAGTTTGCCAGCAACCATGCGCCAGTGTGAGACACCTAGGGCTCTTGGCGGCATGGGCGCCATAGCTGCCCATTGAAGTCCATCTTTCGTCCAGCTTCACTTCTCCCAAACCGAACCAGGTGGAAAATATTTGAAGCGCTTGGTCCACTTGTATGCGCTGCCACTGGTCACTGGGAAGACAATGTCATGGATCATGACTGAAAACAAAGCATGACGAGAAACCAACATAGCACGGAATTCATTGATCTATGGACCTCATATATAGGTGAGAAGATTGTTAGGTTGGAGGCCATTGCTTTTAGGTTAGTGGCTTGCAAAGCCCGCTAAAAATATCCGCCGACCCCGGCCTAGCCTGCGCCTAGGCGGGATCAAAGGTTGCAACTTGGGTACTTGCGGCCGTGGTTGCCACATGTTCCTACCACGGCATGCCCAGGCCATGCTGCCAATGCCTGGCACCTTTTTGGTCGATTTTTGCCGTGCAGAACTTGATGGGCTAAGGCGCTGGCAATGGTTTTTTTGGGTGACCACCTTTGGACTCAAGAAGGGATCAGCGGCACCAGGGCATCCATTCTATTCGGCGATGCCGTACTTGATATGTAGCCAGCAGCTAGCTTTAGCTATGGCGTGTTCCCGTGCCGCCGGCCCCACCACCCTCAGGGTTTTGGGAGGAAGAAACTCCGCTCATAAGCTGCGCTGTGTGCAGAGATCCATTTTGGAGCGCTTTTGGACGATGTTTGATCAGGTAGGCTATCAGTATCCAACGGTGACATGTTCACTCGTCAACAATTGCATGGTCACCACAATTTACGATGCTTTTACTACTTGAGTGTCGCCGCGTTTCTTGCGGTTTGCCGAGGTTGAAACACATCGGTATTTACAGTGTTTCTTGCTCGGGTTGTTCACAAAAACTGTGAAAACACCGTTAGAACAATGGTGGTTGGTTCCTAATGCCGAGAAAAGCATCAAAATACCATGGGCCATGGGCTTGGTTGCTGAGGTTGTAAAGGCATCGGTGTTTACAAGTGTTGTCTTGCTCCGACGGTTCAACAAAAATTGCGAAACCGCCGCCTATCAGTCTATCCGACTTGCGTCTTGGTGTCTATAAAGGAACTAAAACATGGACTGAAGAACATGTGGCATGATGGTGAAAAGCCTCGCGATGCTTTGAAGCACCATCGCATGAGAGCACGCGCAACAGAAACTTGAGACAGGGAAGCACGAAAGGTAAAGAGTCACCGGGAATATACGTGAAAGCCGCAGTATCTAAAACGCAACAGGGCTGTGTAGCAGCTGTTGTTTGTAAAGCTGCCTGGTACCAAAACTGTGCCGCGCAAATGCGGTGACATATGTCACATGCCACACATAAAGAGTGGCCGTCGCAATAAAAAGGTTGCTACAGTACAACATGTGGTGTGGCGCACGTGGAGGTTTGTTAACACTGGCTGTGTTGCGTCAACGCTTGTTCATGCTTGTTGTGTAGAGCAATATGGTGTGTGAACGTTGGTTTGCATAAATGTTGCGGCGTGTAAACGCTGGCAGCCGCTGGCATGTGTAAGAGCCGTGGTCGCGCTTTGTAAAGACCGCAGGTGCACATGGAAGGGGAGGGCCCTCACCACCCCCAGATCAATGATTAATCAATATGGAAGGGGGGAGGGGGGTCATAGAATTGATATGTCAATCGTTGCCTATCGTTGCTCCCGAGCAGGCTGTTCAAGCTAGCCCCTTTGCTTCGCAAAGCAACCTCAAAGTAGCCCTTACCAGCCTACCTTTCGTGGCAACAACCCTTATGGCATTGCCGGCGCGCGAAGCTCTACAGTTATCAGCCAGTCACTTGCTTGAAAGAGCCATGGCTTGGGAAGGATGGTAAGGATGGCAAACATGGAAAAACTGACAGTTGATTCAAATACCCTTGGATCCACGTCGCACTTTTGGTCCGACTATCGTTTCCCGAGGACTCTTAGCTGCCCACATGTTGGAAGAGCTGCTCTCCGGGCTGCAACGGTTTCAAAGCTGATGAGACCACCCTGGCTTTGTCCAGGACCGGCTATTGCCAACGCAAACCATGCAATGCAAGATCTCTGTCTGAGTCTTTTTGATTATATAGATTATATATATATGCCTGGAATCTGTTTGTCAAGATGTCCAAAACAAATGACTCGCATCATCTCACATCTACAATCTACAATCTACACCATGCACGTCATTGAAGAGCACCTCTCTCTGTGCACCTGTGCACTCAAATTATGCTTTTTGTTGGCTTCGCTTGTCTTTTGCCCTCTGTCTGCTATGGCGGAAGCGCCTTTAATGCGAACTTCTGCCCCCAGCTCAGCTGGGCAGTTTCAAGTTGGGAGGTTCACAAGTAGTAGACTGTAGACCTTTTTGTGTCCAGGTCCATCTCAAGCCATCTGTCGTTTTCGGCAGATGATGTGCCTCGCTTCTTGATGCAATACATTCTAGGCAATTCAACTCTCAAAGAACGGGTACCGTTACAGGGTGTAGTTAGCAGCTGCTGCTGGTGCTTCCTTCTGCGGATGAAGACCCTTCGGAGGTCCTGGCAAAGTGGAACTGCCTGGAAGAAGGCACTAGAACTGAAGGAAACTCCGCTTGGCCAGCCTGATGGCCTCCGGATCCTGGCAAGCCAGACTTTGCAGCTAGTAAATTCCCCTCGATGCAGCCCGCTCGACCTGCTTTCCGCCGCTTGAGGCCCCCGCATATCCTTTGGACTTGTCTTTCCGCTCTTTCTGCTTGTTCAACTGCTCTAAAACCACCAAAGTGGGTTTGGTGACCACCTCATGCACAAAAGAAACTCGAAAGAGACCAGAAATTGCACAACAAAGGCGCACCACGAGGGATAGAAGCCAGCTCACGACCTTGGCAAAAGCGGTTCACAACAGCAGGTCCGACACGCAAAGCGCCGAGCATGGCAGGATGCTCCTGCAGAGTACCCATGCAGCCTTTGGGCCCCTTCCATTCCCACATTGGCATTCTCCAAGGCACACAGCCAAGAACTGGGTGCCACAGCAACATCAGCTCACTCGAGAGCCTCAGCAAAACCAAGCGTGCTGGGAGCTGTCGACTGGGGAGGGTTCATGATGGAAAACTGACAACAACTTACACCTGGGGTGAGGTTTCTGTACAAGAAAAAAACGGCATTGCAAAGGTTATGTCTTGGAGCCACCTGTTGCCTTCCTCCCAACACTGACTGGCCAGGTGTCATGGAATAGCCAGAGGCGGAGAGCATTCCAAGTGTCATTGGGCCCAAGCACCCCAAAGTTACATCCTGGAAATCAGAAAGGTATTTCCCATTCGCCGCAGATGTGCATGAGACGTTCTTCACAACTGTGCGAACTGTTCCCTGGTTGAACTGTACTCTGGCCAAGCTTCCTCGCCCTGGGACGTCCATATGACAACAAGGATCATTGTTGTCCTGGGTGCGTCAGGAATCGATTGTCCACGAAACAACTGCGCTGCACAGTCAGTTTACCTCCCCAGCTGAGCGACACGAGCGGCAAATTTGCCAGAATCCCAGCGAGTGCTGGCAAAGATCGTGCCACTGCGACTGCCCCAAAGAAAATGCCTCAGCCGCAGCTGATGCCCAGAATGGCCTGCATGGCTACTGGGTAACGCCAGCTGATATGGCCCCAAAGGAGCCTGTTGCAACAATAACTTTTCGTGCTGGGCGTTACAAGGCACACCGCGACCAAGCTGCAAAAGGTGACCAGCCCACGTGCCACCAAAATGGAAAAACTTGTACGGGGTTTTGGCCCACTCTTTGAGGTGCTTGGAGCCACACACACCAGCAGAATGCCGACGAGCAGCCTCACAGGTTGCCAAGAGAGAATCGATCAAATGGCACTTGAGTTTCGGCCAATAATGTCACGTCAGGATAAATAAACCCCTCTAGTCAATCCGAGCCCACAAAGCCCCCGGAAATTTCCCAAATTAAAAGTAGTCTTGGTGGTTGATTTCCCCCCTAATGGCCTACTTGGCACCAGAACCCGGTTAACCCGAGCCCACAACCAGGTCAATTTGTCCTAGGACTACTACCACTACCACTACTACTACTGCTACTGCTACTGCTAGGCCACTATACTAATATACTACTACTACTACCACCACGATGACGACTACTACTACCACTACCACTACCACTACCACTACTACGACGACGACTACTACTACTGCTACTCCTACTCCTACTACTCCTACTACTACTACTACTACTACTACTACTACTACTACTACTACTACT